AAAAAAAAAAAAAAAAATTAGCCAGGCGTGGTGGTATGCACCTGTAATCCCAGCTACTCGGGAGCCTGAGGCAGGAGAATCGCTTGACCCCAGGAGGTGGAGGTTGCAGCAAGCTGAGATTGTGCCATTACGCTCCAGTCTAGGCAACAGAACCAGACTCCGTCTAAAGAAAAAAACAAAACAAAAAAAAAAAAAACACATTTGATTAACAGAATGTGTTATTTTGTGCTCATGACTCAGAATAATTAGGCAGTGTCACACTCGAATGAGTGTTACAACATGGATTGGGGACCAAAAGGAGTGGTGATGACCAGAGGCTGATAAGGAGAAGTCTTCAGGGAGCCGGTGACCAGCCCCTTCCAGCCCTGAGGAAGAACAAAGGGAAATTCATTTAAGGCCTTTGTGTTTGAGGCGAGGGAGTCACAGGGGCACACAGAAGGCCTTCCTGTCGGCCGTCTTGGCAGAGTTGTTCAGTACCTTATAAACGGGTTCCCAGGGAGGTGCCCAGAGCTCTGAGGAAATGCAGAGGCCTCTGAAGCCAGCAAGGTCACATTCCTCATTTTATGGATGAGACTGGAGAAGTTCAGAGAATCCCGAAGGTCACTCAATCAATGCCGGGTAAAAGATCTGCCTCCCAGACAGAATTCTCCTTCCCGGCCCTTTGGCCTCTGGGGGGATCTTGAAAAGAATTGTTCCCCCATCTGGGCCTTTATTGATGCAGATATGGGGAGGGGAGCTGGAGGGCGCCCCAGATGTGTGATGCTCTAACTCTGCTCCTGCTACTTAATTCAGAACAAGTAGCATATTTGGCTGAGTAGTCATTCCAGGGCTGGCCCCTGTTTGCCCCAAATGGATGCCACCGTCTCCCCCTGTATCCTTCCCAGACATTCAAGGCCATGACAAGGAAATGCAGCAGGGAGGAGGAAGCATGTGCATGAATCCAGCAGAACTGGGTCGGTTCCCACATCCCCCACCTTGGCTTACGTGACCTGGGTCAGGTGACTTTCTTGGGTCTCAGTTTCTTCATCTGTAAAATGAGGGTTATGTTATATATTTATTTTGCCAATAAACGTGAATGCCTTCTAGGTGCTTTGCCTTCTTGGAACGTCACTTTGGAAGAATGCATATGGCCCTGCCACTCCATGGTGTGGCAGCAAACAGCCCTCGCCACGAGGCGGCTGCCACTTTATTACCACTGTCATCATTTTCTTTTTCTTTCTTTTTTTTTTTTTTTGAGATGGAATTTCATTCTTGCCACCCAGGTTGGAGTGCGGTGGCTTCATCTCAGCTCACCGCAACCTCCAACTCCCAGTTTCAAGTGATTCTCGCACCTCAGTCTCTCGAGTAGATGAGACTACGGTACATGCCATTATGCCCAGCTAATTTTGTGTTTTTAGTAGAGACGAGGTTTCACCATGTTGGCCAGGCTGGTCTTGAATTCCTGGCCTCAAGTGATCCACCTACTTTGGCTTCCCAAAGTGCTGGGATTACAGGTGTGAGCCACCATGCCCTGCCTAACTGTGGTCATCATTCATATCATGTTCATTGTCATCATTTTGATTTTCATTCTACTGCTCTTCTCTCTCAAGAGGGGAAGAGGTTTGAATGGGTTCAGACAGGAAGGCCTTCTAAAGAGCTTATAGTCCCAGTGGGAGGTGGCACACACATACACACAGTGATGGCCACCATGAGGCACACACGAGAGTACAGGGAGTGGAAGTCCGTCTGGGTCGCAAGGATGCAAGATAAAGGAGGGAAGTACGCTGGGGATTTGGTAGACTGGAAGTAGGAACAGTGGGCTAGACTTGGGACAAAATAAGAGATGTTTAGGGATAATGGGGAAAAAATTAATTTGATAGGTTTTTGGCAGCTGTTTTTCCTCTCTAGCCACTTGAAAAAGCCAAGAGAGTCTGACAGTCGCAATGCTTCAATCCAACAGTTTGTCAGAGTCATTAGGGAGATGGACATAGCAGAATTTCTGGGTGGGAGGAGATGATGGTGCAGGGAAAGCTGGGTAGAACTTCACGTGGTATTTATATGCTCCACAGTTTTGGAAAGGAGGAAAGAAGAGGACAGATCTCTCCTTTGACAACCGTCAGGATAGATCAACAAACTGTTAGAGTGGATAGTGGAAGGGAAGTCTGGAAAAGTAATTCAGAGACACATTAAAGAGGCTTACAGAATTGGGCCTTGATTTGGGGCTGTGAAGTCTGTTCATCCTAAAGATATTTACATACAGATTTTTAATGTGATCAGCTCCCAATTTGTCCTGTAAACTTGGATATTTAGTCCATGTTTTCTTAAAACGAGTCACTCTCGTATCCACATAACAGCATATTATCTATAGATGCTGCTCTATGTGGTTTCTTTTCTGTTAATGACAAGTTCCTCCCTCATCTCACAAGGAATTTTCTTCTAATAAATCTTTTTCAGATAAGTAAGCATGCCAAGAGAGATTAATCTGGTCATGAGTTTGTCTGAAGTCATGAATTATTAAAGAGCTGCTCCAGAGGTTCCAACTCTTTCCACTAAGGTTTTGCCCAGACTGGCTCCAGAATGACTAAAGCAACATCATCTCTCATTTCATGGAACATTTTTCTGATATTCTAACCTGGGTTTTCCTTACTTCATACCTTCTTTTTTGTCAGCAGGGTTTCCTTTTAATTTTGGTACTTTTATCTATGTTAATATCTTAGATTTGTAATCTTTCTTTTTTCTTTTCTTTTTTTTTTTTTTTTGAGATGAAATCCCACTCTGTCTCCCAGGCTGGAGCGGCGAGATCTGAGCTCACTGCAACCTCCATCTCCCATAGTCAAGCAATTACTGTGCCTCAGCCTCCAGAGTAGCTGGGATTACAGGCATGCACTACCATGCCCAGCTAATTTTTTGTGTGTTTTTAGTAGAGATGGGGTTTCACCATCTTGGCCATGCTAGTCTCAAACTCCTGATCTCAGGTGATCTGCCTACCTCGGCCTCCCAAAGTGCTGGGATTACAGGCGTGAGCCACCGTGCCCAATTTGTGATCTTTTTAAGAACAAAATTTGTCTTGATTGCAACGGTATTTTATATGTTTAAAAACGTGTATCACTGGCCAGGCACAGTGGCTTATGCCTGTGATCCCAGCAGTTTGGGAGGCCTAGGTGGTCGGATCACAAGGTCAGGAGTTCAAGACCAGCCTGGCCAATGTGGTGAAACCTCATCTCTACTAAAAATACAAAAATTAGCCAGGCATGGTGGCAGGCACCTGTATTCCCAGCTACTTGGGCGGCTGAGGCAGTAGAATCACTTGAACCCAGGAGGCAGAGGTTGCAGTGAGCCAAGATCCCACCACTGGACTCGAGCCTGGGCAACAGAGCGAGACTCTGCCAAAAACAAGCAAACAAACAAAAAAAAGAAAAAAGAAAAAAGGAAAAAAAAAAAAAACCCTATAATGCAAAATTAATATTTAGCTTTTTTAAAGAAACCTTTAATGGCATTCGTTGTCATATAACTGTATCGCTGTTCTTCTTTCTATTACTTTTCATGACTCATCAATACATTCTTTTTAAAACAATCGTGTTTTATTCAATGCAAAACTTTCAGAGAAATATTTAGGTAAATTGAAATTTTAGGTCATCAGATGAAACATTACCTAGTCTAGGTGATGAACTTGATATGTGAAGAATCTGTATATACATGCAAACACATATGCACATGAATACAGATATGTATTTTATATACTATAAACATTGTAATATGATTATAGCTATGTTCATATGTAATTGATACATTATTTAAGATGAAAGTTCCTCAAATTATTGTTCCTCAAAAAATTGTTATTTTAAAGTAACATAATATAGATTAGGTACCGATAAAGTCTTTAAATTGTACTATAGCAGTTTCTTTTTTTTTTCTTTCTTTCTTTTTTTTTTTTTTTTGACAGTCTCTAACTCGGTAGCCCAAACTGCAGTGCAGTGGTGTGATCTCAGCTCACTGCACCTTCTGCCACCTGGGGGTCAAGCGATTCTCTGGTCTCAGCCTCCTGAGTAGCAGGGACTACAGGTACATGTCACTACACCATGCAAATTTTTTGTATTTTATTAGAGATGGGGTTTCAACCATGTTGCCTAGGGTAGTCTCGAACTCCTGAGCTCAGGCAATCCACCTACCTCAGCCTTCCAAAGTTCTGGGATTACAGGTGGGAGCCACTGCCCCCAGCCTAAATTGTTACTATAGAAGTTTCTTAAACAGAACTTATGTAGTAGTTCTGTTTAAGAAAATTTCAAGCCGTAATGTTTTTAAAAACACATATTATACTGCATTAAAATTATGAACTGTTTTTATCACAATATACATTAAGACAGTGAAAAGGCAAAGCATAGAGGCAGAGAAGATATTTACATTCCATGGATCCCACGAAAGAATTTTATTCAAGATATATTAAAAATAAATAAAAATGGGCCTGGCTTGGTGGCCCACGCCTGTAATCCCAGCACTTTGCGAGGCTGAGATGGGCAAATCACCTGAGGTCAGTAGTTTGAGACCAGCCTGACCAACATGGAGAAACCCCGTCTCTACTAAAATTACAAAATTAACCAGGCATGGTGGTGCATGCCTGTAATCCCAGCTACTCGGGAGGCTGAGACAGGAGAATCACTTGAACCTGGAAGGCAGAGGTTGCAGTGAGCCACGATTGCACCATTGCACTCCAGCCTGGGCAACAAGAGTGAAACTCCGTCTCTAAATAAATAAATAAATAAATAAAAATGGGCCAGGTGTGGTGGCTCACGCCTGTAATCCCAGCCCTTTGGGAGGCCAAGGCAGGTGGATCACTCGAGGTCAGGAGTTCAAGACCAACCTAGCCAACATGGTGAAACCTGTCTCTACTAAAAATACAAAAATTAGTTAGGCATGGTGGCTCGCACTTGTAATCCCAACTACTTGGGAAACTGAGGCAGGAGAATCACTTGAACCTGGGAGGTGGAGGTTGCAGTGGGCAGATTGCACCACTGCCCTCCAGCCTGGGCTACAGAGTGAAGCTCCATCTCAAAAAATAAAAAAAAAACACCAATAAGTAAACAAATATGCCTATAAATCAATAAAAAAGACATCCAATTTTAAAATGGGCAAAAGTCTTGTTTAGGCACTTTACAACTTTACAAAAGGAACACAGCCAATGAATATGTGAAAAGAATCTTGATCTCATTAGTTGTCAGTGAAAGGCAAGATAAACACAAATGAGTACCATCATGTATTCCAGAATGGCTAAAATAAAAGACGGACACTGCCTAGAGTGACAAGGATGTGGAGGTTCTAGAACTGTCCTGTGCTGGTGAAGCAACATGGGTAGCTGGGCAGTTGCTTGTAGTGTAGCCCAGAGACCACACTCCTAGGTGACATCTAATGACATGTGAGAGAATATTTAGTAACAGGATATTCTAGATCAGGGGTCAGCAAGCTCCCGTCCACAGCTCTAGTTGCATGGCTTACAAGCTAGAAATGCTGTCTACATTTTTAGTGGGTTGTTAAGAAAAAGAAGAAAAAGAAAAAGAATATACAACAAAGACCATTTGTGGCCGACAAAGGCTGAAACATGTGCCAAAAAAGCTTGCCAACGCGTTACCAAAAAAAGTGGGCCGGGCATGGTGTCTCATCCCTGTAATCCCAACACCTTGGGAGGACAAGGTGGGCAGATCACCTGAGGTCAGGAGTTGGAGACCAGCCTGGCTAACATGGTGATCCTAGTTTCTACTAAAAATTAAAAAAATTAGTCCTAGTGGCTTGCATCTGTAAATCCCAGCTACTCAGGAGGCTGAGGCAGGAGAATCGCTTGAACCATGGAGGCAGAGGTTGCAGTGAGCTGAGATCATGCCATTGCATTCCAGCTTGGGCAACAAGAGTGAAATTCTGACTCAAAAAAAAAGTGACCATGCAAAAAAATTTTGCCAAAAATCTTTGCTGACCATTGTTATAGATCTAAAACTGGAGACAAGCCAAATTTCCATCACCAATAGAATGGATAAGTAAATTGTGGTATGTTTAGACAACGGACTAGTCTACAGAATGGGGATGAGCAGGCTATTGGCATGCAGTGGTGTGGTTGAATCTGACAAACAGATGCTAAGGACAGGAGCCAGACAAAACGTATGTATTGTATGTGTTCATCGATGTAAAATTCAAAAACAGACTAAAGTAATCTGTAATGTTAAAAGCTGGGATAATGTTTACCCTGGGTGGGGGATGGTTAGTAGCCCAAAGGGTGCTTTTGAGGTTCTGGTAAATATTCTACTTCTTGATCTACGTTTTGGTTATGGATATATGAAATTTCATTGAATCGTACACTTATGATTTGTGTGCATTTCTGGAAGTTGTTATCCTTTAATTAAAAGTTTATTTTAAAAGTCATGCCTATAACTTGGAAAAAAAGGCATCTGCACCAATAATGAAACTCTACCAGTCACAAAATGATACTCCTCCGTCATCAGGAACCATCTGCTAATAGCCTTTTCACTATTCCCTGATCCACCACAGCTACATCTTTTTGGTACGAACATTTGCATTGCCCCTTATCCAGTCTGGTCATTTCAGAAGCTGGCAGTTTTTTTCATAGCCTGACACTAATGGCTTCAGCACCTAACTAGCTGATGCAGAGATTGCTGTTAGGATGGGGTGAGCTCTGTGCTTTGACTAGATGCTAGGCCTTCTCAAAACCGTGAAGGTGGGTATAAATACAATGAGTTTGTGTGTCTGGATGTGCTTAAGATTCTTTTTGTCCCCTGTCAAACCATGTTTTCTCCTCTTTTTTCTCAAGGGGGTGTACACCGCCTCGAGTCAGTTGAAGAATATAACGAGCTGATGGTGCGGAATGGGGACCCCCGGATCCGGATGTTGGAGGTCTCCCGAGATGGCCGGAAGCACTCCCTCCCGCAGCTGTTGGACTCCTCCAGTGCCTCGCAGGTCCGACCTGGGCTGTGGATCTTTCAAAGACCACAAGGGATTCCATGTTAAGAACGGCCCATCCGTGCAGGCCAGGAGTATCTGGGGCTAGAGAAATGGGATAGAGAGAGACAGTAGAGAAAGTGAGATCTACCCAGAGAGGCTAGAAAGAAGTCAGCCTAATATTTGAAAATAGTGGGGGGGGAAATCCCTTATTGCATCTCCAAATCTTCATCTCCTTCCTATTGTGTGTTTTGGAACCGAGCGGTGCTTTCAATTGCCAGGAAACGGCGGCATCTTGCAGTCCGTGGTGAGCCACCATTGCTGGGTTAATAGGAGCGGCCGGTGTCAATGTAACAGCTGAGAGGGTGGTGGGGGCACATGTGTGAGAGGGAGTGTGCGTGTGTGTGCGTGCACATCCATCCATGGCTCACCTGGAGTCCCACCTGTGACACAGCAATGACTCAAGCAGCCAAGGTCATAGGGGGCTGTAGAGGGGGCTGCACTAGCTGCTCAAGTGAATGTTCCAGAACCTGCTCCCGTCTGAGCCCTGGGCTCCACAGCCCTGCAGGAAGACCGCTTCTCAGTCTCAGCATCCTCAGCCTGGCAGAAACTGGACAGGTGGTCTCCTAAGCAAGGCTAAGGCAGGCTCAGTCCCTGAGAAACCTGTGGGATATTCTTTGAGTCCTGGCACCACGAACCCAGGGCCTCAGGAGGAACCATTAGCATCTTGTCCTCAGGCCTATAATGAAGCAGAGATAGAGGACAGGGGTGTGGTGGCAACGACATTCACACATGCTTGGAGAGCCATAGACGGTAGAGTTCTAAAGGACCTGGGTCAGGGCACCGGAGGCAGGCCTGTGCTTTCAGTGTGTGATGACCCTTTTACAGATGGAGCAACAGAATCTCAAAGGGGTTAAGTATGTCACCCAAAGTGATATGCCAGAACCTCTGTAAAGCTTTTTTTTTTTTTTTTGAAGTGGAGTCTTGCTCTGTCGCCCAGGCTGGAGTGCAGTGGTGCAGTCTTGGCTCACTGCAACCTCCACCTCCTGGGTTCAAGTGAGTCTTCTGCCTCAGCCTCCCGAGTAGCTGAAACTACAGGTGCACACCACCATGCATGGCTAATTTTTGTATTTTTAGTAGAGACAGGGTTTCTCCATATTGGCCAGGCTGTTCTCAAACTCCCGACCTCGTGATCCACCCGCCTCGGCCTCCCAAAAGTGCTGGGATTACAGCCATGAACCACCACTCCTGGCCTTGTCAGGCTGCCCGAAAGATGAGAGCGGGTTTACTGCCGTCATGACCACAGATTAAGTCTTGAGGTAATTCCTTAACTGACCTGCTGAGGACACCCGACAGCATTTATAGCCCAGAAGCATCCATTTCTAACCATACTTCCAGGAATCAGGAAACCTAGGGCACAGCTGAAAGCTTAAAAAGGAGAAATTTTCCCTCTCTTTTCAAGAAAACTTTTTTCTCATGCCTCCTCTTTTTATTTTCTGCCCTTTTCTTTTTCTCCCAGGATTCATCTTTCTTTTTTCTTGGTCTCTCTCCCTCTACTAAAAAGTATTATCTAGGACCAGGCTCACGCCTGTAATCCCAGCACTTTGGGAGGCCAAGGTGGGAGAATTGCCTGAGCTCAAGAGTTCGAGACCAGCCTGGGCAATATTACAACACCTTCACTCTACGAAAAAGAATTGTTTTAATTAGTTGGGCATGGTGGTGTGTACCTGTGGTCCCAGTTACTTGGGAGACTGAGGTGGGAGGATCACTTGAGCCCCGGAGGTCAAGGCTGCGGTGAGCTGTGATCATGTCACTGCATTCCAGCCGGGGTGATAGAGTGAAACCCTGTCTCAAAAAAAAAAAAAAAAAAAAATTACCTAAATTAGACCTCTCCAGTAAAACTTTCAAAAATGATGGAGATGTTTTTTACTTGTACTATCCAATATGGTAGCCATATATGTCTACTGAGCACATGAAAAGTCGCTAGTGGGGAGTGTATCTTTAATTATTATTATTTTTTTTGAGATGGAGTCTTGCTCTGTTGCCAGGCTGAAGTACAGTGGCACAATCGCGGCTCACTGCAACCTCTGCCTCCTGGGTTCAAGCAATTCTACTACCTTAGCCTCCTGAGTAGCTGGGACTATAGACATGAGCCACCATGCCCGGCCCTAAGTAATTTTAATTTAAATATAGATACCTACAGGTGGCAAGTGGCTAACATATTAGACAACACAGGTCTAAAAGTTCAAGGAGACCCTGGAAACTCTGAGAGCCTGGTGAAGCCTATAGGCCTTTGTCCCTAATGGTTCCCAAAAGGGAGATGGAGTGACGTACTGCTGAAGATTGCTGATCAGAGAAGGAGTTCCCTTAGGAGGTCACACACAAACCTGTCTTCAAAGACTGAATACCCAGGCAATGTCTGGCCATCTCTCCAATGGTTTCATTAAAAGGGTAGTAACCTTGCCAAGCCCACATCACTTCTTTTAATGATTGAAAGTGGGGAAGGCCAACATTGTTGGCAGATATATTGTAAAACTGCAAAAAAATACAATTGTTCTAAGCTGCCAAAGATACAAAAATATCATTGGGGACATCTAATTTTTATGTTTGAATGTAGCATCCACAGAGACTTAGGATAAAAACTGTTTCGTGGTGTCTCGTTTTGAAGTGATTTTTTTGGCTTAGGTAGAATATCTGCATCATTGAAGCAGTTTGTTATTCTAAGAAGAATAGCAAGGAGCAAGATGGTAGAAGTGCTTTGGCGATAGAGTCACTTGATCTCTTGTTTATGTTCTGAGGAGCGTACCCTGCTTACACGTGTGTATATTACGGGTGATGGACACAGAAAAGGGGAGAGATTAGAACTTTTCTGTAACAGGAAGGGCAAGTGTGAGTCATTCTGGGAAAATGTTTTATTTTCCAAATGTGAGAGATGAGAGCTGATTCTGCTGCCGTCTCTCAGTGGGATGTTTTATGTGGAATAACAGTTGTCTGGGTTTGTGGTTTGGGTTTTATAAGAAACAAGGGCTTGCTGAGTTTTTGATTGAGTGAATTAAGCTTAAAATGGCAAGATGCTTTCTAACCATGACTGTGAACTTGGGGTGGAGGCAGGGGTGACCAGCAAGGGAGAGCCCGACCACAGGTGGTCATCCTAGATCCCGGAGGCCTCTCCCTTCTGCTTCCTGACTCCATTCCAGAAGTAGAATCTGCGGAATGCAGTTGAGGAAAGAGCAACACAAGGTGCTTGAGGTCTCCAAGCAGTTCTTTATGCAGGCGAAGAAGCCATGGCAGGCTGTTGTAGTAAGGGCTATTCTTCCGATAGTTTTTTTTGTGATGGAGTTTCACTCTGTCACCCTGCCTGGAGTGCAGTGGTGCTATCTCGGCTCACTGCAACCTTTGCCTCCTGGGTTCAAGTGATTCTCCTGCCTCCGCCTCCTGAGTAGCTGGGATTATAGGTGTGTGCCACCATGCTTGGCTCATTTTTATATCTTTAGTAGAGACGGGGTTTCTGCATGTTGGCCGGGCTAGTCTCAAACTCCTAACCTCAGATGATCTGCCTGCCTCAGCCTCCCAAAGTGCTGGGATTACAGGCTGAGCCACAGCACCCAGTGCCTGTGATAGTATTTAAAGGAACCTTTTTTTTTTTTTTAAAACCACTGGACCAGAGAGAAATGTCTAATATGGAAGAAATCTAAGATTTTCAAAGTCTGTTTTTCTGCCAGATACCACTATAGAACAAATGAGAGTAATCTCTGACCTTGCTATGTGTGACTTTCAGGAATACCACATTGTGAAGAAGTCCACCCGCTCCTTAAGCACGACTCAGGTAGAATCTCCTTGGAGGCTCATTCGGCCATCCGTCATCTCCATCATTGGGCTGTACAAAGAAAAAGGCAAGGTGAGCTCTTCTCTGCAGACTGTTCTGCCTTCTGTGTGAATGTTAGCACAAATTTTCTGTTTCATTTTATTTTTGTGTGTGTTTTTGTTTTTAGAGGCAGGTTCTCGCTCCGTTGCCCAGGCTGGAGTGCAGTGGTGCAGTCACAGCTCACTGCAGCCTTAAACTCCTGGGCTCAAGCATTGCTTTCACCTTAGCTTCCCAAAGCCCTGAGATTATAGGCATGCACCATTGTACCCAGCCACACATATTCTTTAAATGGTTATTTTTTATTTTGTCTCTACGTGAAATGAAAAGGAACAGGTATAAAGAAGGACAGATAAAGTGGCCTTTATATGGGTTGAAGTGGATTCCCTGGCATTCTGTGCTATAGGTCTCAGTGTGAGATGGCCATGCCCTCTTCGCTCCTACGATGTGACAAGTCACCAGCACTTGGCCGCTAGGGAAGAACCAAGGGTGCAATGAATGAATGACCCTCAGCTTTTACCTCTAGTGAAAAAGAAGCAGAGCCAGCAGCTTCAGGGAATACCCTCAGTTAACCTTTTGAATGAATTTCATGGCATTGCCATTAGCGTACAGGAAATGATATGAATAACTTGACATTACACAAATATCAAAATATTCTTTTTTTATATACAAAATGGAAACACTAAAATGAAACAAATGTGGCACATGCATAATAGTGGTAAATAACTCTTATGAGCTGTTTAGTGGATCCATATGAAATTGCCATTTTTGGAGGTCAAAGATTGTCAAATATTGGCAATTTGGTATGTTTCTGCCTAAAACTTTCTCCCTTAATGTAATGCATAGCTAGTGCGATGTAAATAGATCTAAGGAGCGGGATAAGGAAGAGAACACAAACTTGAGTTTGCAGCTAGTTTATTAGTTCAACTCCAGGCCTGGTTGGGGAGGGCAATTCAGTTAAATACTGCAATGGGAAAGATGCCCTCAGATAAATACTACAGTGGAAAAGATGCCTTCAGTTAAATACTACAGTGGGAAAGATGCCCTCGGTTAAATACTACAGTGGGAAAGATGCCCTCAGTTAGATACTACAGTGGGAGAGATGCCCTCAGTTAAATACTACTATGTCAACCTGGACTCTCATCTGCTTCGGATGTAGGGCCTTGGCTTTAGCATTGCTGGAGGTCGAGACTGCATTCGGGGACAGATGGGGATTTTTGTCAAGACCATCTTCCCAAATGGATCAGCTGCTGAGGATGGAAGACTTAAAGAAGGTAGGAGAAAGCCTCTTGTATCGTCAGCGACAGTGACTTTGATTCATGAGAATCTGCCTCTTTACAAGATGTGCAGTGAACGCCGCAGTGCCTAGAAGACCTGGGCTGAATCTGCCTGGCACAGTCAGTGTAACCTGAGCTTCCCTTTCCCTAGTTATAAATTTGGAATATTAACGGCTGCCTTGAAGAGTGGTTGCCAGGATTACATGAGATAATATGTGGAAAGTGGCTTAATCTTTCTGTTGGGATCTTGAGTGTCTTTCTTGTTCACTTGGTCTGATTGTGTTCCTTTCTTTAAAAATTCCTGAGAGTTTGGGCCCCATTCTTAGCTCAGGGCTTGTGTGGAAGCAGAATTCCTGGTCATTAGTGGCCATTTAATATCTTGCTACAGAAATCAGCCACCACACAGTCTGGTTCCTAAATGAACATCTTTTTTTTTTAAAAAAAAAAAAGAACAAAACTCTTTTTTTTTAATGAGACAGGGTCTAAATCCATCACCCAGACTGGATTGCAGTGGCATGATCATGGCTCACTGCAGCCTCAACCCCCTGGGCTCAGATGATCCTCCCACCTCAGCTTCACGAGTAGCTGGGACTGTAGGTGCACACCATCATGCCCGGCTAATATTTGTATTGTTTTGTAGAGACGAGGTTTCACCGTGTTGCCCAGCCTGGTCTCAAACACCTGGGCTCAAGCGATCCACCCACTTCAGCCTCACAAAGTGCCAGGATTACAGGTGTGAGCTGCTGTGCCTGGCCCTAAATGAACATCTTTGAATTCTCCACAGTACCTACCATTTTCCCAAATGTGAATATACTTAGACAAGTACTTCTGAATGCAAATTAGAGTAATATTGAGGTGCCAAGTTCTACCTTGCAAATAATTTTTTTCATGTTTAAATATATCTTTTATAGTGCTTTAAACACAAAGCAATTCTACATATTTAATTATTTCACTAACTGCCTTATAAACCTGACAAATAGGCATTTTGGAATGACCATTTTAGAAACAGAACAGTGACGCTCAGAAAGATGAAGTTATTAGAAACTTGTCCCATCCTTAGTAAACAGGAGAAGTGAAATTTAAACCCAGCTTTGTGATCCCAAGTTCAACTCACTTTCCTACCTTACTTGAGAAAATAAAATTTAAATAGGCCAAAGTTTTCTTTATATACAGACACAATAGCTGCTTTTATTAGAATATCTAGAGTAGATATACATCTCTGTATATTTTCTATGACATATTTATCTGGATTAAAATTATATGCCTTTTATAAAGTAGAATTGCCTGAAAGTTCTGAACACACATACACAGGCAGGATCTTGCTCTGTCATCCAGGCTGGAGTGCGGTGGTATGATCATAGTTCACTGCAGCCTTAAACTCCTGGGCTCAAGGGATCCTCCTGCCTAAGCCTCCCAAGTAGCCAGGACCACAGGTGTGCACTACCATGCCCAGCTAATTTTTTTTTTTTTTTAAGAGTTGTGGTCTCACTATGTTTCCCAGGCTGCTGGTCTCAAACTCCTGGCCTCAAGTGATTGTCCCACTTCTGCCTCCCAAAGTGCTAGGGTTACAGGCCTAAGCTACAGTACCTAGCCTGCACATATTTTAAATAGCATTCGCCAGAGCCTGAATCCTGATACTTTTCCCCCTCGTTTGTTAATATACTTCCTTCATGAAATGATTACATTAGAATATTTTTAGTTACCTTCAAAAATGCTGTGATTATTCAGTTTAATTAACCTAAACTGTAGGTGCTTTTGTGTCATACTGGTTCTGTTTTCGGAACTGATAAGAGTGAATTGGAATCTCCTGTTTTTTAGGCAGAGCAATCATCTTACCCTGTATGCTAACAGTAAGACGTGACCAGGCTTAATTCTTCCATGGCAGAATATTTATTTCTGTCTCTTAGAGGGTGGGTTAACTCCCAGGTGGTGTTTGTGTTGAGTTTCAGAACAATGTAAAATTCTAGCAGAGCGTTTTTATAATGGATGTGCCATGTGTTCACTTTATTGAAATTCATCCTGCAAGGCTGGTAAATGGAGTGAATGGGGGGAAAATCAATAGCTAAGAAAGGTTAATAGCACTTGATTCTTCTAAATACTGTTTTTTCATATGTGTTCATTTACAAGAAATGCTAGTAACTGGAATGGATTTTCAACCTGTTGAGTGATATGTCTTTTAAAAACCTTGCATACATTTTAAGAGCTTGAGTAATAATCATTTTAATATTTGTCCCTTTTTCCATATGGAAACAACCTAAAAACATCCACCTCCTGGCCTAATTGAGTACTTGGCTATGCCAGGTGATTTTTAAGCAGTGGTTACTTCACTTATTTTATAGCTTCTTTAATTGCGTTAAGGGAATGCGCATACATTTTTGCTACTCGGCTACAGGATTCTGTGAATCACGCACACAGTGTGCTCCTGGGATTGGCTGGCTGCGAGAGGTGACAATGTGTGTTCTTAAGCTGCTTTGCACTTTCTTATAGCTGTACAGAATCCCTCTTCTATACAACAATGCTGTGCAAAGTTCATCTGTTCTTCTCTCTGGGGCATCTTTGTAGTGTTTCTGATGAACTGTTATTCCAGAAAACAGGCCACGTCACAAGAGTGCAAACCAGCAATGAGCTCTGATAAGTCAACAGGATGTCCAAGTCCGTTTATATTCAGCAGACACTATCAACTGCTTGAAAAATGATCTGACTATGCCTTCTTAGAGTTGGAAATAATAGGAGAGCTGGGGCAGGGGGCCGTGAGCGAACGTGTTCCTGCACGTGCCTGGCAAATTAACATGACCCTGCAGTCATCTCTGAGAGAGAAGCTTATAGTAACTTGCCAGCTTACTGATAGAGAGCCTGGAACTGCATCAATTAGACGATTTCTGGTCCAGAAGTGCTGACTTATATCTGTAATCCCTGCATTTTGGGAGGCCGAGGCGGGCAGGTCACTCGAGGCCAAGAGTTCGAGAGCAGCCTGGCTAACATGGTGAAACCTGTCTACTAAAAATACAAAAAAAAAAAATTTAGCCATGTTTGGTGGCATGGCCTATAGTACCAGCTATTCAGGAGGCTGAGTCATGAGAATAGTTTGAACCTGGGAGGCAGAGGTTGCAGTGAGCCGAGATCATGTGACTGCACTGCAGCCTAGGGTAACAGAAAAGACTTTGTCTCAAAAAAAATTTTTTAATAAAAAAAAATATTATTTCTGGGCTGCCATTGCTCAGTAATATCTTAGCAATGTTTTTGTTTTCATTAAAAGCATTTTCCGTACACCATGGTGATTCTCTGGGCTTGGGGAGCTTGTCTTTCTACAAATACAGGAGTGGCTTCTCAAATGTTATATGTGTTCATGCCTCATTGCCAGTGGGTTTAAGTTTTTAAACAATGACTATGAGGAACGCCTTTGAACTAGATTTTTGCAGTTTGATTTCTAAACATAGGACATCTGTTGTCAAACTTGGCAATGGCTAAAAAAAAAAATAAGATTTTCATGCTTCCCATAGTTATTTTAACTGAAGATTGAAATACAGAATTACTGCAAAAGGATATGTATTGTCATTAGTTGTCCCGTTTTGTGACATTCCTGGGAGCTAAGCTAAACAATAAAAGTCATTTTATATGGTAGTAAATCAGGGACCATATGGTATCCCATTGTAGGTCTGACTGAGCAGCTAAATTCCAGGAAATTAAAGGTTAATGTTAATGTAATTCTCACATTTGATCACTAGGGGATGAAATCCTAGATGTAAATGGAATACCAATAAAGGGCTTGACGTTTCAAGAAGCCATTCATACCTTTAAGGTAACAACATTCTTACTGATCTCCTTTATCCTGTTTTCCTTCCTTTATTTCCTTCTGGCTTGGGTTTAGTGAGACTTTTTTTTTAACCCTTTGAAAAGAAGACAATCCAAACATTTCAACCAACCTTTCCTCGTTGTTTTCTCAGCAAATCCGGAGTGGATTATTTGTCTTAACGGTACGCACAAAGTTGGTGAGTCCCAGCCTCACCCCCTGCTCGACACCCACACACATGAGCAGATCTGCCTCCCCGAACTTCAACACCAGTGCAGGAGCCTCAGCCGGAGGCTCTGATGAAAGCAGTTCTTCATCCCTGGGCCGGAAGACCCCTGGGCCCAAGGACAGGATCGTCATGGAAGTAACACTCAACAAAGGTGATCCCAGTGATTCCTTGCCTTCGTCGCATTTCTCGAATAACATATTGGAATCTGTTCTTAGCTTAATTTTTCCTCATTGTTCTATGAGTTATTCCTTTGGAACAATCTTCTATCAACAACAGATGGTCTTTACATGGACAAGTGGGGCCAAGTAGAGAGATGTTAGTTACTTGAGTCAAAGTGAAGGGAAGTTACCAGTAGCACAGAGCTCTCTAAGGTCTCTCTCCATGAATCACTGTGTGTCAGAGGCTAGTGTTTAAAAAAAATCACCGAGCTGGGCACAGTGGCTCTTACCTGTAACCCTAGCACTTTGGGAGGCCAGGGCAGGTGGATCACCTGAGGTCAGAAGTTCAAGACCAGCATGGCCAACATGGTGAAAGCTTGTCTCTACTAAAAATACAAAAAAATTAGCTGGGCATGGTGAGCGCCTATAATTCCAGCTACTCAGGAGGCTGAGGCAGGAGAATTGCTGGAACCCAGGAGGCAGAGATTGTGGTGAGCTGAGATCATGCCACTGTACTCCAGCCTGGGCAACAGGAGCGAAACTCTGTCTCAAAAAAATAAATAAATAAATCGCCAATGAGCTTAAGTCTAGGGCTAACATAAAAATTTAAAGAACAAAAGGTTATCGTTAAGTGTACAGTTAACACTAGTAACTAGAAGTCACACGGGATCACCAAATCACACTACTTTTCATCCTTGTTTCTTTTCCTCCCCACCTACTGTAGAAACATGACGGAAGATTAAACAACCAAGAGATTAGTTGTTAAAAAGAAAGGCAGAAGAAAGCTTGGGTTGGTGTACCCAGAATAAAAATGTTACTTATAGTCTGCCTATTTCTTTCTTCCTT